AGCAATCAAAATGCCACGAGACCCATCAGTAGGTTGCTTCTGGCAACAGAAAGGCCACAGATGGGTTTGCACAAGATACTGGCCTTTGGCCTAGCAACACACTTAACACTCCTTAATCCTAAGGGCACTTACAGATGGAGCTGTGCTGAGAGTCACTGGACAGGCATTACTGGATAAATACTTTTTAATACCTTCTAAGGAAAATACTGTACTCCTATGTTCAATCCCTCCAGTTCTCATTTCTGTTTTCCTGGGCTCTGGACTTGCATAAGGGTGGTGTCACAAGGTGGAGACAGGAGGGGTTCAAAGGAGAAGGACTTTGTGCTGCCTGTGTGCTAAAAAAGTAATTGGAGGAGGAGTTAAAGTTCCCTTTCTTGTTTTCATACCAAAAATTTCATAATTACTGCATTCATTCTCAAAACAGCTCAATTTTTCACTGCAAACCAGTGAGGAAGTGGGCTATAAGCAGGACTTTATTTCCCTCCAAGACCAGGGTATACCTGCATTATGTATGGAATTTGAGAATATGAAAAAAGCCTATATGTCTAGTCTCTGAATAACTTTTTCATTGTACTTCATCTCCCCTCCTCCCATTTAATATCCAAACCAAGCGAGTATTAATATGAGCGGAGGAGATTTCATCCAGGTCATTCCTTTTACTCATCGTGCTTTGAAACTTCATAAAAAACGTTTGACATCTTGTAAAAAATTAAGTATAAAAGTATTTCTGTATATAGAGGGAACAGCATGGAGGAAATGTGATTTACTTATCTAGGAAAAGTGTTTGGCAGCTGTGGACTTCACTTCAGAATAAATTTCTGCAATGGTGAGTACAGAAACGTGGGAAAACGTGTACAATTTAAAGTCAGGCTGGTAAGTTGTGCTAGGTTGGAGTGGAGGAATTGGCTTTATAGAAGTGACAGTCACCGCTGGATTAATGTTGTTCTCTTTTGCAGATTGTAGATGTTCATTCAGAGCAGTGCATTGTAGACATTTCTTGTTTTAGACTAAAGAAATTAACTTCTTGATATGTAATTGCTGTAGAGCACCTTGGGAAACTGGTGATATATATCACAGATGACACAAGGGAGAGGCAGCACAGCCCATAGGAATTATGACATATTGCTGTGAATATTCAGAGCTACTCTTTCCAAAATAGCAGAATGCTACCGTACCTAGAAAAGTCAGGAAGGATAACTTTTATTTGGAGAAACACTGATTTGAGAGGGCACTCAGAATTCTTTAAAGCTTATTAATTTATTGAGCTGTAAGAATGTCTTACAAAATGGGATTAAAAATAAAAATATTTTTCTTTCTCTAATGTTGTTGACCAGATCATCCATGGCATCAGTTGCAATGTATAGAAAGCAAGGAATTTTATAAGCCAGGATTTTGGAAGTATGTGACGTAGTCTGTGGGAAAGGAAGAGGAGATAGTTGCCTATTTTAAAGTTTTTGGAGTCTGTCTTCCATTACTAGAGTTCTTGCTGAGCTCTGCCAAGAGCTTCTACACAGCCGGAAATTACTCTGAAAAGTGCTGAGCTGCTCAGCATAACATGCTCTCAAAAGCCAATTTTGAGAAAAATTCAGTTTCTGAGAAAATGAGGAGCTATATCTGTAGAAAACAGCCTTCATCCATATCCTGTTCATTCTGATGGCAATTCTGGAGCCATATGTCAAGGCAGTGTCACAGAAGTCATACTCACTGACTGGCTTTCTAAAGCCATGAGATTTGAAAGATGCCTGTATTGCCTATTAATTTATGACTGAACAAATATTAACTTGGTGTTTAAAAAATAGGAAGTTTCACAGAACATAAGGCATGTATGTCTGGCGAGGACAATTTAATCTGTTTGGGCAAAGCACAGGGAATATGGAAAAATAGGACTAGCTTCCGAGTCAGACTCTTCTCCAGAAAGTCTGTTGACTGTATTTGACAGTAAGTAAGAACTTGACACAATTTAAAAAAAACAAAACCAAAAAGAAGCAAAAAAAGTCACCCACCCACACCCCCGCCCCCCCCCCAAAAAAAAAAAACAAGTAAAAAAACCCCACACCAAAAATCCCCAAACAAACAGAGAAAAAATCCACAGGAATTTAATCGCTGGTAAAAATCTTCTGAAAGGTGATAACATCTTTTATGTGATTGAAGATAAAATGGAGAAGCTTGTGTCAGCAATGCTTTTGGTACTGGACTTAAACTGATTTTTAAATGCCTGCTTTGGTCCAGAGCTTTCAGAACCACAGACCACATTAAATAACCAAATATGAACAATATGGATTATTGACATTAATAACACTGTGCCAACAAAATAAAATTAGAGATTCACAGACAAATTCTGATGCTGTTTAACTGTAATCCCTAAGTGAGGGGTATTTTTTAGTATACTGCCTGTAGCTGTATTTCAGCAGAAATTGAAACACAAATATCTTTCAATCCCTAGAAATGTAGTCTTCTTCTAAACACAACTGTGATATAAAATTCTGGTATAACTCAGCTGTAGTGGTCCCAGTGAAAGCCGAAAAGCATTTCGAATTTTTGTTGTGAAAGTGTAAGAGACTCTACAGAAAGCAGCAAATAGAGATGCCACAAGGAGAGAAGCAGTCTTAATGCATTCCTAGAAATGTCATGACTTAGAAAAATTCTGTCCCAGGCATTGCAAAAATTTTAGACAACTCTAAATTTGTGAATTAGTGACTTGTGTGAAATTGCTTTTTTCATGTTATGATTATCACTGTTTCTGTAGGGATAGAGTATACAAAATTTAGTCATGATCTTATCATACAGAGACAATCTTCATTCTACTCAAACATTTTTGTTTTGTGCAGAGAATAGTGTTTCTTTTTAATACAGAAACCCAGAAAATTCACTATTCTCCTCTATCTTAGTCTTCACACAGCTTTGAGTGTTTCCTTTCAAATAATGTCCTGCAGTAATTTCCAAAGCTTGTTCAGTAAGGAATTACCATTTGGTCTGATAAGGCTGTAAGAAATATTATAAATTAATGGTTTATGTGACTGTATCACAACCCTGTTCTGTCCAACCAAAACATAAACCCTTGAGTACCCATAAGTCATCGTCTGACTAGTCCTGAGCTGCTGTAACCAGAGAACTCTTCATAGTTTTATTTTTAGAAAGGTTAATAATGCACCAAATAATATCTTACTCTGAATTTAAAATGGGTTAGAAGTATTCATCCTCTCCCCACACTCTTTCCACTACTATGGTTTCTTACCTTATCTGGCTGTTACTTACAGAACTTCTTCAGAATTCAAATTTTTCTATAGTAAGTTCAGATGAATGAATTATATTTCATTACATGTATTTTACTATGAATTGAATAGACACACACACAAAAAGCCAAATACTCTACTGATTTATTTACGTTTTCTAAGTAAATTGTGATGGTATTGAGTGCTTCTGAACACAGATAATTCTACAGAGTAGGAAAAAAAAAAGGAAATGGTACTTTACAGACAATTTGTGCCATTCATTTTATTCATAAGCAGGATACTTTGATCAAGTTAGAACAAGTTTTTATTGAGAGAGAAGGCTTGGTTATGAGTTGAGCAGCACAACGCTGTGTAACCATAGTGTTAAATTTTCTGTATTCTTTATGGCCCCACGGAAATGCGGGAGTTCACTAGTTTCCCTGTCTGTATGGGAATTTGATGGCATGGGGCTTGAGGTCAAGATCTTTTTCAATTTTTAGCACAGTGAAACCTTTGGCAGGCCTACATATACACATTTAATTTGTATGAAATTAATAAGAAATCACAGAAACTGTACTCACAGTCTGATACAATGATTGACCAGAAGAGTCTTGTCTGCACACAGTAAGATAATAAGGATAGTCCTTCTCATTGGGAAAATGAGAGTAGGAAGAAACTGCAGGAGCAACAAGCCAAGCCTATTCAGGTCTATTCAGCTGAATCATTCATAACATAGCTAGCTGATGCTGTGGCAGAGAAAAGTACCTTCTTTGAACTCATCATACTTCTGTTAGTCAAAGTGTAAAAATGGTCTATTCTTCAGATTTTGGGGGTGGGTGGGAATAGACACTTTGGAATAGTAATATAATTTATACAATAATACAGTTATTTTGGTAAAGTGAATGAAGCTCTCTTGAAGTCAGACATTTTCATTGCAAATGGTTTGTAAGTTGTCAAGAGTGTCCTGACAATGTAAAATATTGTTTCCTGTTTGCAGTCCAACCATCCTTCCAGCAAGTATTTTGTAGAATACTTGAATAGCAAATAGACATGAAAACAGTTCAATTTCTTTAAGCATTCAACCACCTTTGTTGCTTTTGCACCGCGTAATGCCTTTTCCTTGTCTTATGTATGTATGGAAGTTAAATGTAATTTCTTAGTACCGTCCTAAAAATGGAATCTAGGTAGGATATTTTGCAACATTTTAGTCTTTGAAAATCTGTGGTGTAATTTTGGTTCTCATTTTTGTACTTTCTGAACTCTTTCAGTGCAGTACATCAACTGCTTCAGTACTACTAATTTGGGTCAGAATTGTTCTAAAATACAGTTGATACCAAAAGAATGAAAAAACCCACTTATCTCATTTTTGCTATACAGTAAATGTATATACACTTGTGAATATACTGTTTTACAAAGAGAAGCTGAAGCTCCCTGCAATCATGTATCTAGTTTGCTGGATGACAAAAGACCAACTTCATTTGCATAAAATGAGAAACACTGCTGTTTGTCAACCTATTATTATTCAGTGCTGTGTCTTGATACAGGTAAAAGTGGATATCTGTGCCCCATAGTCTCCAAAGGCTCTACAGAAATGTGCGTAAATTAGGGGTAAAAACTACACAGTACAATTACAACAGCTGTGTTTGCTTCTCACATCAGTTTTGTGATCAGACTCTGAACTGGCTATGCTGAAGGATATTTCAGTTCCCTGTAATCACATAAGCTGTATTGATACCTAGGTCAAGCCATGCATCTCTTTAAGATTTTACTTTGTATTTTACCTCTCAGGTTGGTAGAAGAGGATGTGGGAATGGACATCCCCTTATCTGAGGGTGTACTAAGCCCCAGTTCTACAGAGATGAGACCTGGTGAGAGAAGCTCTAACTCATTTTCTTAGTTGTATCTTATTCCCATGGTGTTTAATTTTGCAGTGAGAAAGATATTTCTGTTCTGGTAAAGAATCAGTGTAGTGTCAAAAAGAAAAAAGTGTTAAGTTTGCTTTATTTAGTCAATTATTTTCTTCATTTGAGAAATAATAATTGTAATGTTACATTTTCTCTTGTGCATTGTTTAGTCCTTGTGAAGTTTTAATAATCTGTATTATTTACTTTATAATTGACTACTGTCTAAGCGAACTAAGTTAGAACAGCTTGAAATGGGCCACACAACATACAGGCAAGGGGCAAAGGCATACCTAGCTTTTGTCTTTTTGAAGTCTGTTTTTATTTAAGACTGATTAAGAGACTGAGGGTTTTTTTATTTCTATTATTGTATTAAGATATTGCATAGTTAAATTAAAGACATAACTACTTGCAAATCAGCTCCATTCAAGTAGCACCAAGTGCATGAGACAATAAATATTTACTGGGGATTTCACTCCTGTGAATTTTCCCAGGACTCAGCAATGTCTTGGTTCATAGCTCAAATGATGTGTATATTGCTCTTTAAATTCTTAAGCAGCTTGGTCAGAGCATGTTCCATACCTTATTTTTGTCTGATGATTGCAGAAAACAGAATCTGGATTTTGCATAATTTAGCAGCTCTGAGCTACACTGACTGTTCCTGTAAATGCTTGTTTTATTTCACTAAATAGCAATGTTGATATTTGTGTTTTGTGTTAGGTGGTCTTAAATGTCATGGTGTTACTAAAATTGATCTGTCTCAGTGTGTTTGAAGTGGTTTTTAAGTGTATGGGAGGTGAATTGTGTGTGGAGTAGATAAAGTTCCTTTTTTCCTCGTCTTTTTTTTTAAGAACCTCCCAATTCTCTTGATCTTAATGGTTCCCAACCCCGAAGGATAAAGCTCACTGCTCCAAACATCAATCTCTCTTTGGACCAGAGTGAAGGGTCTGTACTTTCTGATGACAATTTGGATACACCAGATGAAATTGACATCAATGTAGATGACCTTGACACTCCTGATGAAGCAGACTCGTTTGAATACACTGGACAAGGTAATATTTTAAATTGTAAACACAGAGTTCATCTTTTTTTTTTTTTTTTTTTTTTTTTTAACTGCTTACGTGATCAGTCTCATGTCTGTCAGGTTATCAGTGTGGTTAAAGCATTCAAGAGTTAATGCTAGGCATCCAGGTTATTTTTGCTGTCTGCTATTTTTTAACCTTTCACCTGTGTAAAATAGCATACTTCTACTTTTTTAGAGTGCAGAAAAAAATAGTACAGCTGATCTAATAAAGTAAGAGCAGCTACCTAGAGAGAATCAAATTCAGAGTCCCGTCTTTGTCCAGTACTATAGGACTTGTCTGAAAACAAGAAGAAAGCAATTGATCTTTGTTACAGAGAACGCTGTAGCTAACTGCAGCTTAGCGCAGCGCTGGGCAGTTCTAGCTTACAGTTACATCAGTAGTACTTGGGAATATAACTTTGTGCAAAATGTTGACTGACATAAGCTGCACCAAAGATCTTGCAGTGTATAAGTGAGGTAGACACAATGTGCTGAGAGGTCTTCTGTTAAGCAGAAATGTCGACTTTTTATTCCCATGTATGATTGAGAAGCTGAGATGTGGAAGGTTGTGTGCATAGCCTGATAAAGCCAGCTCAGGTGATGGAACAACAGAATTCTTCATTCCAGTTATTTAAATATCATTTCTCAGCAGAACTAACCATGCAGTATAGATACACCCCGAAGTGTGCAGTGAGACCCTTCACTCTTCCTTTGCATATTAATGATTTTCTCTCAAAGAAATATGATGTGAAAGTGTTTTGCACTGTTTAATTCACTTTATTTACCTTCATGATGTACAAAATAGGGTGGTAACACTCATTCCTTGCTGGTACCTCATAAAACATACAAGACCTGTAATCACTGATGTGATCATACAGATATTAAGCTATTTGACGGAAAAAGAAGTGTGATCATTTTACAACCTACAGCAGAAAGAAACTTTTAAAAACTGGATCAGTTTAAACGGAATTTTCCCATGCATTTACATTCTCTAGTGCCAGTGAGGTCACTTGAGCATACAAGAACAGTTTCATCATTTTAAGTGATATTGCTAAAGAAGCATTACTGTGTACTCAATCATGCATGAGCATCTCTAATGTTACTTCTCATTAGAAGGCTGATATCCTTGTGGGTAGATGCAGAGCATAGAGATGAGTTGCTTGATGGTTGGAAGATTTTATAGCAAAGGTTAACACACACACATGTGCGAGCTAACCTGCTTAGACTGTTGTGACTACCATGTGAGAGAAAAGAAATCTCTGCCTGCAGTAGAACAGATTTTGCCTTTAAGCCCTCAAATAATTAAATTCAGCTCTAGTGATTTTGGTGGCAGTTGTATTTCTGGCAAGCATTTCTTCCCAGTGGTTTTTTTTTGCTGCTTTCTAAATGTGATGTTTTTAAAGTTGGACCAGTTTTCCTGAACTCCTGTGTGAAGAGCTCAAGATCCCTGGGTTTTTGGTGACATTTTTGCAGTTGTGTAGTTTGGTTTAAGACATACTTAGTAACAAAAATGTCTTCCACTTAGAAGAACCATGAATAGAGAGTAGAAAAGGAAAAAAAAGTCAACATTTTATCAAAAGAAGCCAGCATAATAAAAGAATAATAAAAGAAGTTAGCTATAAATAAAATGAATCTAATAGCTAAGATTATAGTCTTAAGAAAAGTGAAGAATGGTTTAATTGCATGGTAAATAGCCTTTGTTATCTTTGTACTTTTGTACTCTGCCATTAACTAGTATGCACTCTGATGTTAGCAGCACTCGGAGTCTCCCACAGTTTAATGTTTCTAACTGGTGCCAAACCCAGGAAAGTAAATAACAAGAAGACGTAGCTGCTGAGACCATAGACAGCAGTAATTTTTAACTTGTCATGATGAGACTGTTGACAGTCCCTTTAAGCTATGAAAGACAACAGAGAAAACTTGTTTAGAGATTGGTTGATCATCAGTTTCACAGAGTGGTTTTCTTTTTGTCACTAATACCATACATTTAAACATTCTTTTTCAGAACCCATGCTAGTTTCTGAAATAATTTTTTTATTATTATTGCTTTAGATGGCATAAAAATTGCATTTCTGAAGACTATACATGAATATCATTGAAGGCCTGCCCCCAAATCAGCATTATTTGTAAAGTAAAAGTGTTTATTATTTTGTCTGCAGATGTTTATGTCCTTTCTAAATTTCACACTAGTGCATCTTTCTCTGCAAAATCAACACTTCAGGCAGTAGAGCAGAGTTGCTTCATCAAAAAGAGGCAGTCTTGTATAATTTCTATCAAAAAATAATTCATGTGTCTGATTTTAGCATCAGAAGTTTTATCAAGATCTTTGTCATTCTTCATCATCTGCACTTTCACCAACCAAAAAAAAAAATAATTATCAGACCCCAAACACAATTTTGGCACTAGTCTGCAAATTACCTAGCCCAGCCTCTTTTCACTAAAGCTGTTTTGCTAGCTACCGTTCTCTGGCTCAGTCATGATCTTTAGAGAGGGGGATATTCTGTCAGTATAATTCCCTAACAATATCATATTAGGGACAGAAAATACAAGACAGGCAGCAGTAGAAATTCAGACTTTGTTAGTCATAGAATCATAGAATCAGCTGGGTTGGAAGAGACCTCCGAGATCATCAAGTCCAACCCTTGATCCACTACCACTGTGGTTGCTAGACCATAGCACTAAGTGCCACATACAGTCTCATCTTAAAAACCTCCAGGGATGGAGAATCCACCCTAGGCAGCCCATTCCAATGCCTGATTACCCTCTCTGTAAAGAAGTTCTATCTAATATCTAACCTAAACCTCCCCTGGCACAACTTGAGACCATACCCTCTTGTCTTGCTGATAGTTGCCTGGGAAAAGAGACCAACCCCCACCTGGCTACAACCTCCCTTCAGGGAGTTGTAGAGAGTGATGAGGTCTCCCCTGAGCCTCCTCTTCTCCAGGCTGAACAGCCCCAGCTCCCTCAGCCTCTCCTCACAGGACTTGTGCTTGAGTCCCTTCACCAGCCTCATTGCTTTTCTCTGGACCTGCTCCAGCACCTCAATATCTTTCCTGAACTGAGGGGCCCAGAACTGGACACAGTACTCCAGGTGTGGCCTCACCAGTGCTGAGTAAAGGGGAAGAATCACTTCCTTGGACCTGTTGGCCTCGCTGTTCCTGATCCAGGCCAGGATGCCATTGGCCTTCTTGGCCACCTGGGCACACTGCTGGCTCATGTTCAGCTTCCCGTCATACTGTAACAAAACAAAAAAATATATACTCAACCTAATATATAGATTTTTAATAGCTTTTTTGTGTGTACTTAGAGAAACTTGGTATTTCTAAAAAATTTTGTGAAATTATTGATAGGTTTTAACGGAGAAATCAGTTTTACAATTTAAGAGTTAGTACACATATGTGTTTGTGCCTAAAGGTTCTGTGTAGATATATGTGGTATAAACACAGTATACTATTGTATTCCTAATTTCATAAAGATAATTGATTTAATTTTTACAATAAACTAGTGTGTTTTAAGGATCATATGCTTCATTTTGTTTGAGTAGTTCAAGAAGCAGCATTAACCAGAGGCATCTGTAGATAACCCAATACATAGAAGGGTTTGAGGACATCTATGAAACATTGTGTTCTTTAGTTCCTGTCAATTAAACTTCCTTCTTTTAGTTTATTCTTAATTCTCATAGATCTCTTTGGTATTTTCAAATAGGGTGTTTACAGCTTTTAAAGTACACACGTGTATGTTATTATGTATCTCAATGTATCTTTGTTTACTGTTACCTCGCTTATTGATTTGCAAATAAAATTCTGCTCTTATGACTGCACAGCCAGCATAATGCTTTAAAAAGAACAATTTACTTCAAATATGTGTAATACATAAAATGCACAGAATCTTTACGGTGAAGGTAAATTAACAATATCTATACAGAATATTGCAAAATAGTACAAAAGAGGTATTTTTTTTTACCCCATGGAAAACACAGTATGTTGCAACAAAAACTAAAGAGGGAAAATAAGTATTTCCAGCTGTGGACATAATCACTTTTCCTGTCACTTTCTCCATAAACAACCATTAAATTTGAAAAACTGGAATGCAGTTAAGAACCATCTCGTCCATGTGCAATGGAAATGTAGATTTTATTAATTACATCACAGTTTTTCTGAAACTAAGAGTATCCAGCACAGAGGCTGTGTTTGAGACTTCCTAGTCACTTGTCAGCCATACAGTTTATTTACTGTGGTCATTGTGCCTGTGGACTACATGTGCCTGTTCTCTCAAGGGTGCTCATAGAACAAGTCAGACTGCATGGCTGCTCTGTACTTCACATCTGTGAGAAAACTGGTATTTAACCTCAACCACAGTCCTTGGGGAAGGCAACTACTGTGCTTACATGAGGAGTCAGCATGACTGAAGCAGAGGAAGATGGATGTTCTTCATATTTTCTGGTGGTGAATGTGAAGAGATTGGAGACAAACTGGGAAAAAGTTGAGAAGCTGTAGCTCTCTGATAATTCCTCTCTAGACAGGAGGTATTCCTTTGTTCACTTTTAGTTCCTCCTTTTTTTTTTTCAGCATAGTTCTTATACCTGCAACACAAACATTTTAAAAGGCTTATGGTGCAGTAACTAGTGAGCAGCTACTCAGTTTTACCAACTGGATGCAAAACCAAAAATCCCATGGCAATATTCCTCACAGTGATAGTTGCTGTTGTTCTTTTTATGTTCGTAATAATGAAAAGTCTTAAAAAATGGAAACTTCTCATTGACTGGCTGTCAGATGATCACATTCTGCTCTTACTTATACCAGTACTGTAAGAATCCAGGTAATTTCAGTCATTCATTTCAAGTGTATGTGACAGCAACAGTATTTAGAGGTAATATATACAATATATACAGGAGGAGGTAATATATACAGTTTTGTTTTTTAGAAGAGCATACTGCTACTAAGGATGCTTCCCAGGAAGAATCTGAATCAATTCCAGAGTACACTGCTGAAGAGGAGCGAGAGGACAACAGGTTATGGAGAACGGTCGTTATTGGAGAACAAGAACAGAGAATTGATATGAAAGTCATTGAACCATACAAAAAGGTCATTTCACATGGAGGTAGGAAAAGCCTATAAGTATTTTTTAAATTGATGTAAAAAATCATACTTTATTGATCATGATTTCTGGTTTTGTTCTGTTATCATACTGGCAGGGGGAGAAAAAATTTTATTTTTCAGCCTTGGCTGAAAATCAACTTGGCTTTCAATTCAGTGTGGCAATGACTAATAAGTGTTTTAAATTCAAAGCTATTTCAGGAGCAGCAAACTGACATACATGTGTCAGGAACAATTTGGTCATTGTAGGCTAAAATTGTCTTGAACAAGTTAAAAAGCTTTTGACCTACAGCAAAATAAAATTTTGAAAACATTATTCTGTGGGTTTTGACAAAAACTTTTGCCTGAGGAAGTAGAGTGGCAAAAGCAAAGATACAGAAAGCCCTGGGGTTTTCATTCATCTGGCTAAGCTCCCTATGCTGTTTTTCTGCCATTTATAGTTGTTGGCAGCATTTCACCAGGAACTGGTTTATGGTTTTTTTTCACGTGATTTGTTAATGAAAATCAAATAACGTATCAAAAAAACATTTAAAGTAGGAGAATGACCTTGTATGCTTGTTATATTGTCTAATTTGCTCATCTGCTCCCCAGCCTCTTCAGAGAATCACAGAATATGCTGAGTTGGAGAATTTGTAGTTCTGGTGTTACTAGTACACTTCTGTATAAATTAATACAAATGGCTAAATATTACTCTAGATATTAACGGAAGAAAGAGAAACAAAGCTTTCTAAGTGCCTTTTCCTATTTGTCTCAGGTTTAGATTATCTTTGGACTCTGTATCTTTCAAGGACTCTCTTTACTCTCTATTAAGTAAAGTGTTGTGTAAGGATGAGTTGTTCTATTCCTGCAAAACCTGAGGTAGGCAACTCAGCCTCTCAGAGGTGAGATTTGTGAGTTTATATGAGGATGCTTTTGTCACAGTGTTGTTGATCTGTAACATCATTTAAAGGTCAGCCATTTTTTCCAGTATATTTTCAGTGTTGAATCTCTATCTGGTAAAAGTGACATAAATAAATTATGGTTAATTATATTACCTGAGGATGTGGTTCTCAGATTTGCGCATTTACATTAAAAAGCAGATAAATGCTAGCCTATAGGTATTAATGGTGGCCAGTATGCAGAAGGTTTAATCAGAATTAATAATGTTCAAACCTCCAAGCATTTGTGCACTACCACACCACCATCAAAGATTTATGAATATGATGACACCTCAGACACAGTTTAGCAAACAGACACAGATGGCATAATTTAGGAAACAAACACAAAATACTTTGGGGCCTTGCTAATTGTGTTTATATATTTTTTTATGCTGTAAACTAGTCAATATACATTTGTGGTGAAAACTGTTTCCTAGTAGATGCTGATGTATATGTGTATATCAGCATTTGTGAAGAATAAATACTAGTCCATTTTAGCGAGTGAATAAGTAGCTCTGGCAGACATCTCTGATGGCAATTGTGAAGTACATAATAATGCACAGTTATCAATGGGAGTCTAGGTAACTCAGTTCAACTCTCAGTATGAAATAATTTGAATTCAAATTTTATGTATCTGACACCTTGTTTTGTTAGATCACTCAAATCTAAGATAAAGAGCATTAAGTTTCCTTTACTTTTGAAAGGGAGTTAGCCATTAGACAAACAGTGTGAGATAGAACAATAAGTTTCAGTCTGCCGGTGCCTAAATTGGAAATTTTGCCTCATATCTAGCCAAATCAAAGTAGGTTAAGGACTGGATTAAATGAAGTGGAAAACTGGAGATGTGGAAACCAAAATAATTTTGTTGCATGGATTGTGGGAAGACTTTGCACAGCTCTAACAGTTTCTGCATTATGGCAACTAGGCGTATTCTGTATGAAGTTCACTTGGCAATACTTTAGTGGAGTGTTTAGAGGGCCAGGAATCTTTTCTTTAACCTCAAGATTAATAATAGATTCTGACTAAAATTAGTTAATTGGAAGTCAAGCGATCTTGATGATTTGATGGTCTACTGAATATTCCTCCCTGACAAATGACAGATAACAGCAAATGCAGAATTTATGTGGTAGCCACAAAATAGGAAAGGGGAGAGTAGACTTGGCAGTGTAGGCATGAGGTTGTCTTCAACATATTTCTCTTTGCTTAGGCTGACAATTTGGGCAAATGGCATTTACTGCCTTCTAGTGGTGAATTAAAATGCACTTCTCCCTTGGATGAACATTCCTTCTCTTCAAGCATGTGTGAGGAAAAGTGGTTTAGACTTATCTGTGAGTTTTTCTTCCATGGGTTGTTAGTTAGCATCTGCATGTAATCATTTTGCTTTCCATGAACTTTGGACTGTTCCGTGTATTTTAGTGGGCACACCTGCCACAATGTGCTCTTGCTATCAAACTCCTGTGCCAGGTGGGCAGATTACTTTATGGCAGCATGATATAAAATCTTTTAAAGTTTTCTTTTAATTTTATGGAAGGAAAGAAATGTCCTCCCTATTTGAAACCTGTGGAGGAAAGAAATACTGCTTTATTCCTGTTGTTGTTTAATCCCAGCTGGCAACCAAGCCCCACACAGCCACTCACTCACTCACTCACTCACTCACTCACTCACTCACTCCTCCCTATGGTGAATCAGAAGGGTAAGAGTGAATAAGTTTATGGGTTGAGATAAGGACAGTTTAATAGGTAAAGCAAAAGCTGTGCACTCCAGCAAATCAAAACAAGGAATTCATTCACTGCTTCCCATCGCCGGGAAAGCAGAGCTCCATTGTGAGTAGCAGTGACTTGGGAAGACAAACACCATCACTCCCAACTTCCCCCCTTCATTCTTCTCCCCATGGCTCTGTATGCTGAGCATCATGCCATATGGTATAGAATATCCCTTGGGTCCATTGGGGTCAGCTGTCCTGGCAGTGTCCCCTCCCAACTTCTTATGCACCCTCAGCCTACTCATTGAGGGGGAGAGCAGTACAAGAAGTGAAAAAGGCCTTGGCTCTGTGCAAGCACTGCTGAGCAATAACAAAAACATTTCTATATTATCAACACTGTTTTCAGTGCAAATCCAAAACATAGCCCTGTATTAGCCACCGTGAAGAAAACTAAGTGTATCCCAGCCAAACACAGCACAATTCCATAATAATCTATCTGAAACAGTAATTTGTGCCAAAAACAGGACTGGAGTTCCATCAGCATTTTAGTTAGACTTAGATGCTGTCCTCTGGTATCAAAAAAGCACTGTGGAAGTCTTAAAATCTCCTTTTAGAAGGGTTGTTTAAGTCGTGGTATTATCCTTTAATTTTTGTCAGGAATGTGTTTCTGTCTCTGAGGGAAATGAAAGTTTCCTTCCTTCACAAACATTATCATCTCCCCGTCATGGTCAGTTTCTTCTAGATTCTTTTGAAAAGCTTTTGAGTTGTTCTCTGAGTATATCCAGCTTTGTCTCTCTGCATCATTAGTGCTATCTATTTACAACCATTTCTACAGCATCTTTATAAATTCCCTCCTGATTGCATGTATCCTTTAAGCAAAACTTAAAACTGAAATGCAGGAGTATTTTTTATTTATCATTAGTAATACAGGATTGTGGAGAAGACTAACCATCATTAATCCATCACAAGAAGAAAATATTTTATTTTGGGTAACAAGCAACATCCTGGACCCCAGAATGGTAGTGCTACAGCTTTGAGGGTTTACAGCTGTTATTAGGCAGTGGTGCAGCCCAGAGAATGCCAGTATTGGATGATTGGAGTGTCCAATAAAAAAGTAATTTACACAAAACTTGCGAGAAAGGATTTAACTGGTCCCCAGGACCTCTTAAGGTATAGTGGTATGGAGTCATAATTGTAATATCCTAAAGCCATTGGAGCTGCACAAACCAACTGATATTGGACTGGAAGACTTTGTGAAACATCATTCAAACAACGCAAGACAGCAAATGTAGGAGATTTTCTTTAGCTCCTTATTGCTCAATCTGAGGTGAGCATTCAGCACATAATTGCCACAGAGATGCAATGAACCTTAAGTAGAAGCCTTAGAAGGTGTTTTTGCTGGTCTCTATAAAAAGTTTACTAATAGTTGTGCTAAGTGTGTTTTTTGAGAATTCAACTGACTCTCATACGTCCTTATGACTTGATGATAGTTCATACATTTTCAGTCTGCTTCAGCATTAGACACAGTAGCTCTATTACAGGACTCTGAGATTTCTTTTTAAATTTATTCTGTTAAAAGCCTTTGACAAAGATAAAAATGCCTTTTCGTTTTTTTCCACAGGATATTACGGTGATGGTCTGAATGCTATCATTGTGTTTGCAGCATGCTTCTTGCCAGACAGCAGTCGAACTGATTACAACTATGTCATGGAAAACCTTTTCCTGTGAGTGATACGTAAGCAATGTAGCAGAGTCTTTTGAGTTAGTACTCATAATTATGCTATGAGAGGTAACCTGTCTTTAATTAAGAGGTAATTTTGGTCACTAGAAGTGGAGTGATCTGAATGACAAGGAAAACAGTAGTTTTAGATAAACTTCTCATTGGAGTATTATTTTGTTATTTTTTACCTATTCACCCTCCAAAATTAAGATGTATTTGTCAGTACCAAATCTGACTATAGTATTTCCCTAAATGTCAAGGAATGCAGTATCTTCAACTCCTTGGGACTACAGTCTTTGCACTGTTTCACTAGTGATTTCCATCTCTCGCTGAGAACAATCAGCAGGGCTTACACCACCAGACTGTTTTTCACTATGTGTTGTTGATTGTATATTATCATGATGTATCACTGTATATATTTTTAATATATGCTGTGCTGTGTTCAGAAGTCACAGGGCCATTTTTTGACACTTGTTTTTAAAATACAGGATAAATGGCAGTTACTGACACAAACAGCTCTAAGTATGTTTCCTGACTCCGGCTGCTTCTGCTTCATCTAGAAGTGGCAGGGGCCAGTTGGGCAGGACACAAATTTGGCCACAAAAACCCAAATTTATCACAGGAAAATTACTCCTAATAGCAATTTGTTTTGGCAGCCAAAAATTGGGAAGGCAGCACTACCCTCAAGTATCTCCAGCTACTTCCACTTACAGCTGTTAAAAAAACCAATCTGTCCAGTGTTTTGTGTGCTAAAACCCAGTAAGTCATTTCTAAAGCCAGCAGGAGACCTGGCCTTTGCCATTTGCAGCTTACAGGGCACTAGAGCACAGACCAAAGTCTCCTTAAAATTCCAGTCCTTGAAGATGCACTTGGTGATAGCCAATGCCTTTAACATTGTCTTTATGAGTGAAAAACAAGAATGGGTGCTTTAGTTCCTGGTCAGAACAACTGCTATCATTTGCCTGGTAGAGCCTCTAAGAGTCCCATGTAATCTATATCTGATAACTGATATACACAATGCCCAGTGATTTAAAAGGTAGGCAGGAATTACTACAGTGGTTGCAACTTGATAAGTAAGGAACAAAGCTGAGAAACTGTGACTGGCATTCAATAGTTCTTCTTTGTCTTCACCCAAGACCCTTGTCCAGATAGAGCTGGTGGTAAATGGACTTTGCAGAGAAAGCCCTAAGAGCCTTTTCCACATGGCTTGAGGTTACTGCCAAAGTCAGTTTTAAAATAACTTTCTCTGGAGTAGTAGTATAAGAGAGTGTTCAGGTTTTCTGTGAACCTTCAGCTTATTTTAAGGCTTATCTCTTGGCTCTCTCTGAGGCAACAAGAAAAGGGAAAATTAGTTCACCCCTTTCTTCCAATTGTAGGCCTTTTAATTGCATAGAAGTAGAGGGATTGCAGCAGTTTACTAAATGTGCAATAACTCATATATTTAAACATTTGTTAATTCTTTACTATTGAATTATATAGCAATCTGGAGAGACCTGCAAATCACTGAATCTCTTTCCATTTTTAATACAGCATATTTCTGGTGGATAATAATGTACGTGCAATGTATAGGCCACCTCTAGTTTCTGATTAATAAGTGTCCTCAGTTGCTGCCAAGTTTTGCAGTTACTTTCCCATCTGGATTCCTTTCACATTTCCCATTATCTTGTTCCTGTTTGTTATCTTGACTACTCCTGTAAAACTGTTTTTGAAGGATGGAGTTTGGCCAAAACGCTTGAGACATCTTCTAGAGCAGTCCTTCTAGATAATGAAGAACCGCACAAAAAATTCTGCTGTTTAATTTGTGGCTGCCTGACACAGTCAACAGATTAAAAATTTTTTAGAAGAATCTCAACTTGAAAAATCACACTTTGAAAACAAAACCATTGCTTTGCTTGCAGAGCGAGGAATTTGTTCTAGTCAATGAGAAAAATTCTGTCCACCTTTTCAAATAATAAAGAAATTGCCATTATTATCAAATAATAAGAAATTGCTAGATAGGTAAAGTTTGCAAGGAAGCTCAGCATCCTTAAAATGGCAAATGGTCTAACACAACCTAAATTGTATAAGAGCTGTTGAATGAAAGTATGTGAGATAAGTGAGATCTGACTGAAAAACTAGCAGAGATTCTTTTTTGCCATAATAGTCCTTTATGATTGTTCTTATTATAACTCATTATTCATAATATTCACAATTCCCTTTGCCCTTAGTAAACACACTTATTTTTCAGACTGTTTTGGTAAGTACTTACACATACTTCTGTACGGTTCAATGCCTTTAAAGCACTAGATGCTGTGCCCTGTGAGAAGGGCTAATTTCGTAACTTGTCAGGTAGTCAGTAGGTTCAGTTAAATTAAGCTTTATGCATCAAAATCTCCATGCAATCCTTGCTTTGCTATTTCACTGTTAGACATGAGCCTTTACAAGTATCAGGCAAAAGCAGGGAATGCACAACTGCAAGGTAAGAAAGAGCATTGAAATGCATTGAGTGAGTAGTGATTTAGATGGGATTTATCAAATGCATGGAACTGGTCTACTTAATGGCTGCCTACTTTATGCCCAGGTAAAATATCACTCTCTTTGGTCAGAACTAGATTTCCTACAATTCTTTTAAAGACATTGCATCCTAAGGAATTTCAGGGTCAGATTAGATCGTGAACATTCCCACACACATGTGAAAGGTGCCATTGTGCTCAGGGATAGAACTGCCTTTTGTAGTGAATGCACTCAGGCATTCAGGTTTTTAAGGTGTGACTTGTGGTTTTTCATTCGAGTTTTTACAGAGGCATGCCTTGAGGCTGCTTAGTAGAGAAAACAATTTGAATATTCCTGTGATGATCAGCTGCCAAATGAGGTAGGGACTACTGAATGGAGCATCTGCACACAGACAAGAATTTAAAATTGTCCTCCCATTTGACTGAGTAGTGTGCTCTTCTGGGTAGGATGAATGAGCTTTTCGAGTGTTTTGCTCACAAAATGAAGTTATGTCATGGAGTGATCTCTCCCATCAGAAGTCAGGTTGATGGACAAGTTTTATTAGCCTCGAGTTTCAAAGTGTTTGTAGTTTGCAGTCACAGGCTCGGTAGCAGTAGTGTGAGGATCACAAAAATTTTAAACAAGTTCACCCCTGTCTTCTCCTGACACTTTTTATTTTTGCGTTGAACAAACTTCATGAACCTTGATGATTAGAATAGTGAATAGAAGTTTCTCAGTAGTTAATTTTAGAAGTTCTTAGGGCTTCACATGGTCCTGCCATGTTCTCCCTCGCAAAATCTTGTGATTTAATGTCTTTTTAAGAAACAGCAAAGTCACTAGTGAGATTTGAAAACTCACTAAGAAACAGTATTTTTGTAAGGAAACTACATATTTTTGAAGACAGAGGTAAGACTGGTTTTCTAGTTATACATCTACAGGTACCACGGTGACCAGTGCTAAATGTTTGCTTCGGTTTAAAGGAAAAGAAAAGCTTTTCTTGTAATAAATTGCTTAGTCTGCCTTGATTTATTCCTAGTAGATTGATTTAGTTTGGGCTTAAGCAGATAATGTACAGTTTGTGCTCACTGACATGTGTACTTTTACCAGCTATGTAATCAGTACCTTGGAGCTGATGGTAGCTGAAGACTATATGATTGTCTACTTGAATGGAGCAACACCAAGAAGGAGGATGCCTGGATTGGGTTGGATGAAAAAATGTTACCAGATGATTGATCGACGGTCAGTAATATTTTCCTTAATCCATTATTTTAAACACTGTCCATTTCTGTTACTCCCCTGTATGCCAGTGTTCACTGTATATGATCTTTCTGTATCTTTTGTGGGGTTTTCTGTTGTTTTTAAGAAACCATTGCTTTTTTACTTAGATTACGGAAGAATCTGAAATCATTTATAATTGTTCATCCATCATGGTTTATCAGGACAATTCTGGCTGTGACACGACCTTTTATAAGGTATGTAATGAATACCAGTGATTTTCTATGTCCCTAAGAACGTAAGTGCCCTACATCATCAAGCATAGCTGTTAATCTTTCATTGAAGAGTGCTCATTTTATAGCTTATGTTTGGATTTTGACAGTTCAGTTTCCTAAAGTGAGTGGGGGGAAAAAAGTGATTTAAATAAGTATCTAGTTGCAGACAGCATAGGGATGGTTTTGTACGCTGCCTATGGAGAACTGGGAATTCAGTCTCTTGAAATTGTCTTGTTTGGAGCCCAGCTCAAAGGCATGTAGAAAAGGGGACTGCATGTAATGAAAATCACCTTATATAAAAAATCCTGGCTATAGGACCATATTAAGCTACAGTTCTTGGTTTTTAAACATCAGTTGCTACTCATACTAGAGGACTGCCTGCAACCTGTTGTGTTTAAATGCGTAGGAGTTCTGGTTCCAAAAAATATGCTTTGATTAGTAAAAAGGCAGAAAAATTTGTTACTGACTTTGAAGACCTCACAAATTGCTGAAGCAGATAGGGAAGTATGCAGTCAAAATCCTGAGAGCAGACTGACAGGTGTAAGGAGATGCTTCAGGCAAGAGAAGGAGCATCTTCTACTGAAGCCACACAGTGAATGACATACGTCATGACAGATCTCAGAGAGTTCTGCTCCCAGACTGCAGATGAAGACACTGGAGGAGTCTGTCACAGAGTACTCTGGCCTCACAGGGTAACATTTGGATGGGGAAACGTGATTTCTCCTATCACTACCAAAGTGTATAATGGAGCTTCTTCTTTCAGATGTGGTATCTTTAATACCGAGGAGAAAGTGTCAATTCAAAATACCAGAGTAACAGAAAAACAATACTTGGAATTATCAATAGTAATTATGATTCATTGGTCTTTTATTCAAAATGATTATACTGAGCAGCAGTGATTACAGGTTTCTCATTGACAAACAGGAGAAAATGTTTGCTCTAAATAGTTCGGCAAAGCAAATTAGTGGTACAAAACTATAGATACTCATGTCATGGCCAGGCTTTGTGAATGAAGATTCGAGAAGGGCTCTACCCACAATTGTTACAGGCACGCTGGTGGCTAAAGAGGCCAATGCAAGATAGACAAGATTGATTGCAAAAGGCACAGCAGAAAGACTCCTTGGATGGTATCGTCAGGGCACGATTCTTTCTGCACTGTCTTTTCTCTTCGACGGTGATCCTGCGTGCGTTCTCAAAAGAGGCAGCAGTGTTATAGATGGTGTGTCTCCAGACCTCCCGATTGGAGGCCAGAGTAGACCAGCAATGAAAATCAATGTGGCCAAGGCTGAAATGTTGCTTCAGGGAGTCCTTGTATCTTCTCTTTGGGGCTCCTCTCTTGTGGCAGCCGGTGGCCACAAGTTCACCATAGAGCACGATCTTGGGGAGGCGGTGGTCCTTCATCCTTGATACGTGCCCTGCCCAATGCAGCTGTATTCTCAGCAACATGGCCTCTATACTCACAAGTGCTGCCTGTTCTAGAACAGACATGTTAGTTACATAATCTGACCAGTGGATGTTCAGGATTGTACGGGGACAGCATTAATGGAAGCATTCTAGGAGTCGCAGGTGGTGGCGGTAGATGAGCTGTGATTCGGACCCGTATAAGAGAGTAGACAGCACAATGGCTCTGTAAACACTGATCTTTGTACTTTTCTTCAGATGTTTATTTCGCCAGACTCTTTTATAGAGGCTTCCGAAAGCTCTATTTGCCTTTGCTAACCTGTTGTCTATCTCTCCATCAATCTTACCTTCCGAGGAGATGAGGCTACCTAGGTAATTAAACTGCTGGACTGATTTGAGCTCTGATTCACCAATGGTGATATGGGGATGATGGAAGACTTCCTGAGGTGCAGGCTGATAGAAAACTTCTGTCTTCTTCAGGCTGACTTCCAGCTCAAAAAGCTCAGCAGTGTCTGCAAAGCAGGATGTTAAACGCTGCAGAGCTGCTTCTGTGTGAGTGACGAGGGCGGTGGTGTCAACGTAAAGCAGCTCCTGGGCAAGATGGTTTAAGGTCTTAGTATGGGCCTTCAGTCGCCTTGGGTTGAATAGGCTTCCATCGGTACAATATCAAATGTAGATACCATTTTCTTCATCAAGGTCTGCCGTGGCCCTTTGGAGCATCATGCAGAAGAAGATTGTGAATAGGGTTGGTGCAAGAATGCAACCTTGTTTCACACCATTGGTTATTAGAAAGGGCTCAGAAAGTGCATCACCATATCTGACTTGGCCATACTGATCCTCATGAAGTGAGACGATCATTTTAAGGAACTTGGGGGGACATCCTAAATGTTCCAAAATCTGCTACAGACCTTTTCTGCTCACAGTATCGAAAGCTTTTGTTAAGATCAACAAAGGTTACATAGAGATCTTTGTTCTGTTCCCTACACTTCTCTTGCAGTTGTCTGAGAACAAATACCATGTCTGTGGTACTCCTGTTGGCTCTGAAACCACAGTGGCTTTCAGGAAGAAGTTCTTCTGCTATAGTGGGTATTAGTCTGTTCAAAAGTATTCTTGCCAGGATTTTGCCAGCAATGGAGAGCAGAGTAATACCATGGTAATTTGAGCAGTCTGATTTATCTCCTTTCTTCTTATACAAAGTGATGATGACTGCATCACAAAGGTCTGATGGGAGTTCACCTAGTTCCCAACAGCACACCACAAACTTGTGGAATTTAGCATGGAGTGCAAGGCCCCCATACTCCCAGATTTCAGGTGGAATTCCATCAACCCCAGCTGCCTTGCCAGTTTTCACCTGCTGTATGGCCTTAAGAGTTTCTCCCATAGTAGGGGCAATATCCAATTGATTCTTCACTGGTTGTTGTGTAATGTACTGAATTGCTGAGTCTTGAACTACATGGTTCTAGAGACCAGTTAAAACTCTCCATTTCAGCCAAGTAGACAACTGAGTCTCTGTGCAAGATGAAAATGAAGAACAAATGAGAGGTGAAAAAGGTGGGCAGGACACATGACCAGTGTGACTTGTAAAAATGACATGAGATGTTTGAACCCTTACTGAGGACAAAAGAACCTTATGAGAAAGCTGAGTAAACAACTCCCTGAGGCGTGAAAAGTGAGAGTCAATTCAGTAATAAGCAGCGTTAAGGAGATAGAAACTTGATTAGTTTGAAGCCCAATGGCTATAACTTAGTTTGCTAGCCCCAAGCTGTTTACTGACAGGCACAGTGGGAATTTTGGAGTAAGAAATGTTGGTCACAAGGCAAGCAGAGATTTCATGGAGATAGCTAAAGGTGAGCAACATTATTTTAATTGTATTTCAGCTGAGATGCAGAACAAAACAGTAGAAATTAAGAACCTGAAAGACATCAGAATGGCAAGAGACAGTCAAGTCACTGAAGGTGTGCTAATCTCAAGTCTATCTCAATTTTACCTCAAAAACTGTCAAGCAAATTTGGTGGAGTCTGGGACTCATCTTGACTTACAAACAGTTGTCTGAAAAAACAGAATGAAAGAATTAGAGGTAGCAGAGAGAGATCCTAGGTACTCTCTTAGGACCAGATGCTCACACCAAAAATCATTTGAGCTGTGTTAGGTAAGGAATTAGATTTCTAATAAAATAAGTGTCTGTGAAACGTATTTGTCACTTGATGGAAGTATTTAAATAATAGGAAGTTACTACTATTAGCAGCATGTTTTCCCTAAAGTCTGAAAGAAACAAGGACTTACTTTGGCCCATAAACTGACTTCTACATGAAGGAATTACTTAGAAGTCAGTCACTGTAGTGGAGTAAGTGGGCCCAAGAGAATCCTCAAGGGGAAAAAATAACCTTTGAAAGATTTTTTTTAAATCTGCCCTGCTCCCCCATCTTTAGAAGCTTCTGATTGGCTTGCAGCTTGCCAAGTTACTTTAGGTGGCAGTTCTGATGCTGGAGTCTATGATTAACATTTTGAATAAAATGCTAAGAATTACCTGTGTGTTATCATGCTTTGACTGGTCGATTGTGAGTGATGCTTGCATGCTAAATGTGACCACTGGTCTGCTCCAGTGTGCGTGCCTTGCTTTATGAGCCAAATGAGATGGACTTCTCATAACCTCATACATATCAAATAACTTAGGTTAGCCAAGTGAATAGCCTTATGTTTTTAAGTGTGTTTTGTGGACAATTTAGCCTTTTTCCAACTGATCATTTTTCAACCACAATAAATGAGTCATTTAGCACAACTGAAATAAAAAAGGTATTTCATCATAAGAAGGCTCTGCAGTAAGAATAGACACAATCATATCTGTACTTGTCTGAACAAATGAGGAAGTTCAGTTTTATTATATTTGACTGAGAATCAGTGTAAAATAGAAATGCTAAGTCATCATGATCACTTGTTAACCATCGTGATGATTATGATCATGTTAAGTGAATGCTTCCCATCTCTTTTTACATGTAAGTATTCTCTAAGAGATTCTTTTCAGAATTTTAACACATCTCCTTCAAACTGTAAAGCTAATTGCATTGTCTAGCAGGTAGGCATTACAATTTATAATGTCCTAAATACTGTGATTCAGCCTAAGAAAGGAACAGCCAAAGGTCTAGACTCAATTTCAGCCTCACTAGAATTCAGGTAGGCTCATGATTAGCTGAGCTCTGTAATTGAAATATGAATATCAAAGTGCTTAATTATTTAATACATGCCTTCATTTATTTTTAATATGTCATAAAGGATTGGGGGACAAAGTCAATTAATACGGTTTTTTCTGTGTTTCAGCTCTAAGTTCAGCAGTAAGATACAGTATGTCAACACATTGGCAGAGCTTCATGAGATGATTCCAATGGAATATGTGCAAATACCAGACAGTATTGTCAAGTAAGTGATGTACAGTAAGCGTGTACTTGTTCTAATGGAAACTATTTCCACAAACTAATAATAGTGTTTAAGACTCTGAAATGTTTGTGGAACAACACATAAGCATTTTTAAGATTATCAGGAAAGTATTTTCTGGTTTTTTTACACTGTCAAACTCAGAAGCAGGAAGCCACTGTATAATGGAAACACAAAACACAATAAAGATATACTCCTTGGGGAGAAGGAGAATAGTTTAACCTTTCCACGGGTATCATCTATGCCATATTTTTCCATACCTTTTTAAGTAAAAGTGTTTTTAAGTTTTAGTCATACAGGGCTTTGAACTGAAACAATAACTAAAAGATAGCCTGTTCAATAGGAGACCACTGAAAGTCCATACATTCACCTTCCCTTATCTTGTTGATTTTCGTGTTTAAATCCAGAACCACTGAAAGACAGTTTCTCAGTTTTTGCCACTTATGTCCAGAAGTTTTTTAAATGCAGGCATTTAAAGGGCAGTATCTATTAAAAGGAAAGTAAAGTAAGGAAAGTATATATTAAAAAAATGTAGGAAGTTGATGGTTATTGCTCATCCCAACTGACTTCTTTTCAGACCTGAAAACAACAAAATGGAATCATATACCAAGACAGAAAACATGACTGATTGAAAAATTCATGGGTTTCATATAGTTTCTATTAAATAGACAATCCTGCTCAGGGATGTTATTTGTTTGGTTTTTTTTAATTGTTCTCTTTATCAAATATCTTAGGTTTTCAACAGCGAAACATTCTGTTCTAGTAAGTAATTTGATGAGCAGATACACAAGTATGATTGTCTTTTCCTTATGGTTTTTCAGTGACAGCTTTTGGAGCTGTCATAGATCTCTTCGACCCAGACAGGAGTTTTTATACCTGTCTCACATTAGTTGCAAAGCAACATAATTTCCTTCATCGAGCTAATGGTGTAATTCCAGAGAGCAAGTGGGAAGCTCAGTTCTGGCAATGGCACTTGTGAAAGCAGCAAATTACAGTTGTGAAATCAGAGGTCATAGAGACTTTCACTCAATTTCATTTGCTGCTGTAACTTTTTCAGAGGTGGAGTGATGCTAAGAATGTGGAACAGAGACCGTTAGTCAACTGAGAAAGACATGTCCATAATGTCTTAACATCCCTAACAATTTTTCATCCTCCCTCTCTTCCTTCTTCCCTCCCTTCCTCCCTCCCTCCCTCCCTCTTTTGATTCCTATAAAAATTTTAATTTCTTATAGTTCCTTTTGATAGAAACCTTAACACGATACTCAATTTCTGTCTGTTTCCTTGCTGTGTTTACTGTTAGGCTGCAGCAGCATACACATCTGTGTTATACACATTTTTACTTCCTTGTAGTGTTGGGGAAGTTCATTCACCTCTCAGACCAAAGGTGAAAAGATCACAGCATTAGTACCAAATAAACTTTAGTACTTAAAACTGAAGAAATTTTAGGGAACTGCCTACTTCATGTCATCAGCAGCCAGATGAGAGATCATGATTTTGCTGAAAAAGATAGAACTCAAAAGGTGACAATTGTGCCTATTGGTGGCAAGCATTTTCAAGATGCTGTGATAACAAGATTTAGTGGCTCTGTGCATTCAAGACACTGTGAGTGGTTATTCCCATAGCACAGGGAGGAGAGCAGAGTTCAGCTGATAGTTTCCCTTCTACTGCAAGTTGAGAAAGGTTCCTGTAGAAAATTACATTTAATGTTTTGGCTTCATAATTGCTCCATTGGCAAGAACAAATATACCACCTGTGCTCAAGAGGAATCCCACATGTAGAAAGTACATAGTATTTGGGTTGTGTGGTTAGTCGGTAGTTTTTACTGAAGTGGGATACAATATGCTTGCTGTATCATATATTTTACATCTTTTCCTTCGTCCACTCTTATCTTGTAAGGTATGATGAAGAGAAGTGTATTAAGAGAAGAATGAGGTAAAACCTGCTTTCTAGCCCCTGCTGCCGCTCATAATAGAGTGAATCTGTGTGACAGCCTTTCACCTGCAGGCGACCTCAACAGCTGAATGAGAGAGGACTTGCAATGATGTGGAATCTTTCTTTCCCCTTCGAGCTGTTGAGATCAGCCTCCCTTGCAAATAAAACTCACTGAACTGTAAATGTCCTTGACTTGGCCCAGGCTGCAGCTAGTTTAATATTATCTGATAGAGCAACTAAATGCTTTCAGCTTTGTCCACTAGGCATGCCTCAGACCCCTGCTGCTTCTCTGTCTGCCTCCAAATGATCTCAGTAAGAGTTACAAATTTAAGGTGTGTTGAGCACAGGGATAAATGGTATCATACTGAACTGAGGAGCTTTAGGATCAGTGTGCCCTAAATCATACTGGGTTCCTATTTTAGAAGCATGTACTATACTTGTTCTTTGCTCTGCTATTGCTCTGCTTCTCTCTTATGCTCTGCTTGCTTCTCTGTTTCTTTGTATCAATAACTTTTACTCGTGCAGACTGGACGAAGAGCTGAGGGAAGCTTCAGAAACAGCTAAGTAAGATAGCTTTCAGCTGGATGCTGGCATTATATTTACTTGTTTTACAGGAATAGTTTGAATGTAGTAGTATGCTATATGTTTGGTACAACTATCAGCTTGTAGTTTCAATTACTGTGTAAGTTGTCATATTTGTAAATTGACTTCCCCTCTCACTAAAAGCAGCCTTCTTTTGTACTGCTGGGTCTCAGTAAGAAGGAATCACACCCTTACGCTATAAAAAACTTTTTTGCTGTTTTTTGATTATGGTTTCTGTAGTCATGGGGATGACTGAAATCACTTATTTACTCCATTAAAATGGATCATTAAACATTTTCTACCCTTCATCTGTTATGTCAGTTTTAAAAAAGTAGTTATTTTTAATTTTTTTTTTCTCACAGTTTACTAAATTAGGTCTAGCTCTTGTACCTCATTCTCAGTTAAGTTAGGTACATAAATTCTCCTTTTTTTCCAGCATTGGCTGAATAGGCCAGGGAATTAATACTTGATAATAATATTGTACTACTTGATAATAATATTGTACTGTATGTGGTCACTTAATAAATCAGTGGCAGCTGATGCTCAGATACTTTAAATTCATAACTCCTTATGAGTTATGAGTTTATGTGCTTTGACACTGAGGCAGTATGGTATAAGGTACCAAAGAAATCCTTAACTAGAAGGACTTGACTCATTGAGAAGAGCTTAGAAAGTATCCAGTGCACTTTCTTCATATGTGTATTTTAGAAAAGATTCTGGAAAAGGAGCCTGTGTCTGCTGGTTCTAGTATAACATTTTCCCATTTTTGTTTTTTATAACCAAAGATTTTGAGGTCTGGAGTTTCTTTTCAGTCTCTTTCCTTCAACTTATGCACTTCAGGATTTTCCTCTTACAGCTTCTGCTTTGCTGTACTTTTTCCTACTGTTTCTTCTTTTTCAGTACACATTTTCCTCCTGTTCTCCTGAGACTGGTTTTTAAAACAACCATAGAGAAATATCCAAATCACTGGCCACTGCTTTTTGATTCTGGCAGTTAAACTGCCTCAGAAGCAATGCATTCACATAAGTAGTTATTTGATATCACCTGAATATTTTGTTAAACAAAGAAACCCACCTAGCCTTGAAATGCAACTTCTATCTCTTCTATTCAAACATTTTCAAATGCATTGTATATGTGACGGTGAAAACTCTCTGGAAGAAAGCTGCTTTCTTGTTACTCCATTTAAAATAGTAGAGGCTGCAGCATAGCAAGTGAAAGGGGAACTAAATATTCATGTGAGGCATCACTGATTGTTGTTACTGTTGGATGTATGAAGTCACTGTAGTGCATTTCCCTTCCCTGACTTAAAGAAATAGCTTAAAAATTTATTACTCAAACTAATGTGTGTTGCAATCACTAAGATCACTACATTCTTAACAACGTTTGTGTGTTGTGCTGTCAAAAGATATTCACTACAGTTAGTTATTACATCCTCAAATTTTATGTCATATTTAAAAAACCACAGAAGAAATGTTTACTCCTCTTTTTCCTTGCATCCAGAACTAGCTGCCTCTCAAATGATCCAGAAATGACTTCAGTGGAGCAGGAGTAAGAACTTATGCCTAATACTGTCATTGCAGTTTAACATTATTTTACAGCCATGCTGCTAGGAACTGAGGCTGGGTAGACTCCATAAAGCTTTTTAGAGACCTAAATACTTTTATGGTAATATTCAGGAAAAAGCAATGAAGCTTTGTTAAATTTATATTTTATATAATTTATATATTGTATACTGAATACTTATTATATTTGTATTGCATTGCAAATGTGTTTGAATTGTCCCTGACCATTTCCAAGCAGAGACAGATATAATTCCTAACCTGAAGATATTCAGGTTAAGTTATGTGAAAAGCAGGTAGAAAAAGTGCAGCATGATCAGAGTGAAGATGGTCCCATGCTTTATCCTCAATTAAAAGTAAAGAGGTAAGCTTGCCATTCTCATTCAGAGATTAAAAAGTCTTGTATTTTATTTTGATTTCTGGACCATGCTCTCATCATCTGCCTTCTCTTTGCTTTTCTGCTTCTCAGCTTCTTTCATAGTTATTTTCCTGATTAAACCTCAAGCATCTTTACATCTTTTCCTTTCAAAGCTGCACTATTTCCCTTGGAAATGGGAATATGTCAGTCCTCTGGTATGCTGCTCCTCTGTCTGATACTGTAACTGAAGCATGAAAATGAAAAACCCTGCACTGCTCTTACTGTTCATCAGTGAGAGTATTTGTAGCTGTAGTGTGTCACACAAGCGCTAACAGTTCCTTGCTAGAACAGCATGTCAGGAGAACCAGCTATTGCAGCAGAGTATATTCCTGGCCAGTGTGTACAGGGGAGGAGTGACTGAGGACTTTGCTATCCCTACCCATCTGGTTGGTGTGTAGAAATATAGTGGTGTCTCACCCTGGAATGTTGTTCAGGGACTATCATATAGTAAACCTGACTCCTCAGTAAGATTCCATCAATAACATGAGTATTGATAAGCAGGCAAATAATTAGAAGTACATGTAGCAAAAATATGCATAAATAAAATGTAGCTTTGGTTTTTAAGAATAAAACAGTATTCTAGTAAGCTGTCACATTTTCATATCTGATACATATGTTAGAATCATAAGCTAAATTCCTGATTCCTGGAGCAGTTAACATTATATCTCTGAGCATTTTTTTTTTCCTAGGATGCTGTTTTACTCTGTAATGAATCAATATGAGGACTGCTTTTGAAAGTATAGGAACAGAAAATAACATGTTAAAGACTATTTACTTACGACTTTGATCTTTTTGTGGCTTGAACAGTTTTCCTGTTTTTCTCAAAAGATAAGCTGAGCAGCAAAAAGCAATATGAGAGAAGAATTTATATTTATTTAAAATAAATATAGTTGAGACCAAATTAATGTTAATTCCTGCCATTTATTTTCTCTGCATAAATATGAATCTGTCATCAGAAGTGACAGTAATTTTCCTGTGATCATATCCCTTATTTCTTGTGTCACTTCTTCAGGAAAAAGAATTTCTCGTGTAAATCCATCCACACTGAGAACAGCAGTTTTACACAGATTTTTCTTCCGTATGCTTTCAGCTGGAATGTCTCTGGAGTCTGCCCAGCTCTTAGTTTGCTTTTGTTGTCTTTTTCATCCTATACCGAAGGCTTTTGTCTATTGTCATGCTCCCTTGTCTTCTATTTTGTTCAACTCCTTGCACTTCCTCATGACTTAAAAAAACCCCTATGAAATAATTCACTGTTAAGTAACACTGTGCATTGTGTAACAGTTTGTAAGTAAACTGTTACACAATTTATATAAAATATTTTTTTATAAACATAAAAAGGAAACTTTAAATAGTTATGTATTCTTTAAGGAAAATTCTGTCTTGAGGCAACGTTTATGATGACAACTTTTTACTTTAACAAATGCTTCTAAAGTATTTGATGACATGTGCTTTGCACTAAATAGCAAAACTGTACTCTTAGAAACATTTTTAGGGCCACATATATCTTGTGACACTGTTGTGTCATTCCGGCACTGGATCTTCCCACATCTGGTGTCTACTTCATATTGTAATTGCTGGAAAAATAGTTATTAATTTCCATAGAACAGTAATGCAACGTATTAAGGTGCGTACTTTCCTGGATGTGTGTAAATTTTTGAACACCACTGCATTGAAGTAAATGAGAAATGAGGATACTCAACACTTTGCAGGAGCTTAGGATTGGGAAAAAGACTAGTCACATGCTTCATAGCACTGATTAATTTTTTGTTGTTGTTGTTCTTTGTTGTTCTGTCTTTAATAAATAGCATCGACATGACCCTGAAATAAAAAGCATCCCTGCCAGGCATTTGAAGAAGAGGGTTCACTTGGATTTTCATCACCCAGACACTCACGACCATGCTGTACAATAAGTGATTTGGTCAACTGTGTTTGGTTCATAATTTTTCCATGTCATTCAGCAATTCAAGAAGACCAAAAGGGCCAGTCCTATTGCCATGGAGACAGCAGAATTTTGGGGCCTGGTTATTTATGTCATTTTTCAGAAATGATTTTCTTTAGGAAAGCTATATCATCTAGCACTGGTTTCTCTGTGTGCGTGCAATTTCTGTTTCAAAGGATACCATTTTACCAACAGTGTGCCTCATGAACAGGTCAATGAGGATGGGGATTTTTTAATTTTTGTCTTCAGCATATTAGTGTTTATGCATAGCTGAGTGGAATAGTTATTGTTACAATAAATGTTAATTTCCTTGTGTCACAGAGCAGCAGCAACTGTGTTGTTTAAAAATAATTCTAGAAATGATGCAGGACTTCCTTGAATTTGACAGGTCAGGTTGGATCGGACTTTGGGCAACCTGGTCTAGTGGAAGATGTCCCTGCCCAATGCTGCAAGGGTTTTGGAACTAGGTGATTCTTAAAGCCCCTTCCAACTCAAAGCATTCATGCTTCTATGTGTTTCTTGCTATCTGAAAAGCCCTTCTATCTTCATTTAACCCTAATGACTTTTTTTATTTGGTCAGAGAAAAGACTGATATACTGAAAAATAATAGACCTCCCAGAGGAAGAATCAACTAATCCTGTAAATGATTGTCATATATTCTAAAATCCTTGGAGCATTACTTTATTGTTGTTTTCTAAATCTGCTTTTTCCAGAACCCTTTTTCTAAGTTGTGAGCCTTCAAATGACATTCTGTCTCCAATTGTAAAGGCTATTAATGCTATGAATATGAGTCACATAGTATTTTCTACTAACAGCCAAAAGTTAAACATGTAAATCTAAAGTTGCAAGTCACAGTCATTTGTTAGGAATACATGTTAAAGTATGAGTAAAAATAAATCTTACAATGCAGTTTATTGTCTGTGTCACAGTACACAGCAGTAAAAGCATGAAAAAGAAAAAAGCCCTAAGCATTTCTTGTTTGCTGCTGTCCTGTGTACTGGCATAAAAGTCACTACGGTAAATCCTCATATTTACTGGAAAATATCTGCAATTTTTCAGACCATGCTTTTGCATTGAGTGCAGATTAATTATCAAGTGAATACTGTTTGTCTGCTTTAAAAAGACAAGAGTCAAGAATATGACTAATGCTTTCTCTTTCCCTAATGAACACATGCATGCACTTTTCAAACCTCCTGACTCACCTGCCTTTTGGGAAGTCCTAATGCAAATAATAGTATTACATACTCTCTGAAATATTATTCTTTTCTTCACAAGATTCTCATATACCCTAGCATTACATCTGTGGATTCTTTACTTTGTCTGTAAATAAGTCCTTGGACATAACTATTCAAGATAAATTGCACCTTTTAAGTGTGCTCTAGCTCTAGTCCTGTGTTCAGTCTGGAATTATTAATGAAGGAGAAAACAAGCAAAAGGTTTCTTGGGAAATAAAATTTAAGCAGAGGCAGGACAGCATGAGCCTTGATTTTTCAGTAGGATCTAAACTGAAAATTCTCTTTTGTCCTTCATTTAAAAGTTCAATGGTTTTGTTCTGTGGTTTGCACATTTCCGACTCTGTCAGATTCTATCTTGTATTTGCAAGATAGCCTGAAAGCAATGAAGCAAGCGTCCATCATTGTGTGCATAGTTGTTCAGCTATTGCAATGAAAATTGAAAATGTTGTTAGAAAGGCAAAAGAAGGCTTTCTTATTGCCCAGCATAAAAAACTGAAATATGTGCCCCTCTTCAGTCCTTGCTCTGTACTGACAGGTGGTGCGTGGTATCTCTATCATACTTGCTAGTCTGCTGTGTATCACATCTCTCTGTCAGTTCCTGTTAATTTTCAGAGGAAGGACCTAATCCTGCTGACCATTGTTGCTGCTCTATAACCTTGCCCTAAATTAGGACCTGGTAGTTTCCACCGTTTCTCAGATATTTGAATCCTGGCTTGTGTCTGCCTTATAAAAGTGCTGTCACTTAGTACATTGGGGATAATGTTTTATGTACAGATTAATATTTGTATTGACTTCCAGATGCTAATTAAGCTTCACAAGGATCTAAACTATTAAAAGCATTTAGTAGCATGAAATCGCATCTTTTCTAGACCTGTAGTTTAGGCCACCTAGGATGAGCCCAATGACTTGTGTTATGCTGTAGGTGAGAGAAGTTTTTGCCAAACTTCTGCACAAAGCAGATCTTCAGCACAAATCACTGTCTGAGACTTAAGTGGGTATAAGAGATTTGTGATTTTAGTGGTGGATGTCAGTTCAGAGATTAATTTAATTCTAAAGGCTTTGTATGAAATTACTAAACAGCAAAGCTGTATATGAATTAACCTGATTAATGTGGGTGGACTGGTAGTGGCAGCCTGAGATGGAAGGAATTTGTTTAAGCGAAATGTCACATTAAAACAAAATGGGGCCTCAATGTAATGGTTCAAAAATTATTGCAAGATCAAGGTGTGATTATCTTTGCTTATTAATATATTTTGGAAAGTTTTTTAATGTTATGATATCGCAATTCTATATTATACTAACAATAATGTATGAATATTATTAAATCAGTAGTTTGTTGAAAGAGGAATATAGTATGTATAGTTGCACAGATAAAAGCTTTTATATATGGATTTTTTCTAATGTGTATCAGAGCGCTCAGATCAAATATAAAAGAATAGTTGCAATTTTTTTTGTTAAAATACCTATGCTGACTTAAATTATAGATTAAGCAATACAAGGATATCTAATATCATTGTATGGTTATATACACATATGAATCAGAAATAAAGAACTGCAACCAACCACTAGAACTATTTCCTTTCAGCTCCAAGTTGTGGGGGTTTTTTATTCCCTGGATGTGTAGAAACACTTGATTGTTTTAAATCACAGTTCTTTGCATAGTTACAAATATTCTTTTACTTTCCATTCCCTACCTGTCCTTTCAGAAATTGAAACTGAGTCACTTTTGTGTCTCATGTTGTTAAGTCTCCATCTCTATGTATTCAAATCCTTGTTTTGTTGATACTAGGAATATTTTTCCTGAAACAAAGCAGAAGGAGCTCTTTACATTGCTTTCTATTTTTGTCCATGCTATTATCTGAAGGTCACATACATAGATAGTCTCAATCCATCTCATATAGTAGGCAGAAAACAGAAGCTACGGGGCAGATTGACTATGAAACCATCCTGAGCAGATTAACAACTTTGTTGACTGCAGCGAAGGAAGGAGTCAGACCTGGTGGACTTTCAGTCCTCTCACCTGCATGGTACCCTGTGCCCACTGACATCCCAATCTAAGTCTGTTTCAAATGGGTCAATTTATACTGCTGCTTCTTTAAGTAACTAAGGTTTTGGTCTTAAATCCAGAAATATGTTAGGTGTGAGAATGCACCATACTCTGTTATCACTATAGTGTGTCATATTTGGATTATAAAGTTAGAAGAAATGGCATTTGAAGCTAATATTTCTGTATCATGAACAAGTAATTTGAATCCAGCATAGTACTATTTCTAAATGATTTTTAAATGCCTCAAGACCAATAGACCCATGTGCCTCTCCTAACTCTAGCTAGTAATCTATGAACAGTCTTGGGAGTAAATGCTGACTCCAGAGAAGGAGGTTTCTTTTATGTTTGAGATGTGACCTCCGTGGTGAGCTACTGCAGATAAAAAAAGTGTGCTGTGTCTCTCCTACAGTATCTAGTCTGTCAGAAAAACTATTGGATTGTCAAGCTCACTGTTCAAAGGAATTAAATTTATTTCTTTATTTCAGGTGAAAAATTAAAAAGCGTAAAATTGCTTCACAGTATTATCTGTTTAGCCAGGTTATAACTTACTACTAAAATAGAATCAGTTTTGTTAAAAGAAACTTCAAATCAGAGATGTCAAAACCTTATCTGCTTGCCTCTCTTTTATGTATTTCAATAGGCAGCAAGCAAAGCAGCCTCCAGCAATGGTAGGAAAATAATCCACAGAGTACTTGTCATGCTCTTCCCTGAGGCCTGGTATGTAAAGCAGGCCTCAGTGAGAGAGTGACTCAGAAAACAAAGTGCTGGCTTTCTTAGGACAATGTTAAGCCATCAAAACTGTAAAACTATATGTCTGTCTTCATCCCTTTGAAGTATGAGTAATGTATCAAACAGTCAACCTAAGGAACAGAAAGAATATTAATGTGAGATTGGGGTTTATGATGTAAAAAAAAGGAACACAGCTAAAATTATCAGTCAGGGAAAGAAAAACTAGGGGAAGGAAGGACAGGTCAGGGAAATGACCAATGACTGGGGGAAGGTGGGGTTACAGGCATCTTTCTGCTTGAGGCTCCAGCCTTCTTCCAAATTCTGATTCTCCTTGGGGAGAGCTTCTGAAACATAGCAGGCCTGTTTGCCTGGAGCCTTTACTTGAAAGAAGCACATGTGAGCTCTGTTCCAAATGTTCTTTTTTCCCCTCATTTAAAGAAATGATGGAATCCCTGGAGATAAGTGGCTTAATCTGGTTTTCACTCAGTGTAGAATAAAACCCTCTCAGCCCTTGTGTAGACATCATAGAAGAGAAAGCTGAAAAAATGGGAAATGTTGCATAAATTCAGAAAATTAAATTTTACATATTTCTCAGTGACTTGCACAGAATAAGCCTGAGTCAGAAGACATCATATAAGCGTAAATAAGGAAACAAACTAATATAGAAAGAGCAAGATGCAATAGGAGGGGCATGTGGAACAAAGTGTTTCATAGTGGAAAATAACTGTAGGAGAGAAATGACAGAATAGGAGATGAACTGTGCCAAGGAGGATAAACAGAGACCAGAAATGCAATGTAAAAAACAAGAAGGGAAGGGAAGGTTTTGGAAGGGAAGGTTT